ATCACATTGGGCTGCTAGCATTTGGACTTAACTGCGGAACAATCTAACAATGTAATTACAATTTTGGAGTTTTTATTTCTTTGTTATGTTCAATTCTGAGACTTTCTTAAGCCAAGTCTTTGTTCACAAAAATGGCATCATACAATCCAGAACTACTGGAAAATTGGACTATTGATCGGCTTAAAACTGCCTACAGGGATCTTGGAATCAGTTTCCCAACAAATGCACTTCGTTTTCCTACTTAGACTTTCGAAATGTCAAAAATACAGTGCCAGTAAGCCTACCAATGAAACTAGATCACCCTGGCGTCACTTCCTTCAGCCCAGGATCAAAGTGTGTGATCCCATGATGCATTAGGTGACGTCAGCCGGCAGTTAAACAATTTAGCAGCAATTCTGTCATCATTGTCACAGTCTGTTTCAATGTCAAAACAAGAAAGTGGACCATATGGAACAACGGATACAAGCTGCTGGCCTGTCTCCAACAGTAATCTACAATCTGTGTAACAACAACACAGCAAATACAACACTAAGCTCTAATCTCAACTGGGACAGGAACTCGAAACGAAGCTCCACAACCCGAATTTACCCTAACGTCAACTTACAGGGCTTTCAATAACAGTTCTACATGTTTACCTTCAGCCGCTGCTGGAAGTCAATGCAATGGGGATGACATTTGGATATGCAGCACATACTCTTTCCCTCGTCGAAACAATCTCACAACAATCGAGGAACAACATTTGACAAGTAGGAATGTCAGTCTTCCTGCCTTGCTAACTCCTTACTTTAGAGGATCAGGTGATAATGGCACTCCAGAAGCCAAACCAGACCACAAACTAAGTCGCATTTTGAACCTTGGTGAATTTATTCAGGCTTTCGGAACTTACAAACATATAGTGTGTGAAACTTTTCCCCACAGGAGGGCAGAGTTAGACATGTACGAAAGCTACATTATTGACATGGCATTCCGCTTTCCTGGTAGGTGTTTCTACGAATGTCTGCCAATTTTTTATGCATGCTGCTGCTGATCTTAGATGCAAAAATATGTGTGTAGACTGGTCTGTGAGAGACAACAACTTATTTAGTAATATGTTCATGAATTATCTTGCCCATATATATGTGTCTATTGCGGAACCTCACTGCACCTTTCCCCATTGTCCCTGACATCTCCTCCACAAAGTGCTCCATCACTGTATAATTATTTAATAGCAAAGTGTCTCTTGGTAAAGTCAACACAAACAATAAAACCGACACACATGACAGGCCAAGATTTCTTCACAACAACAAAGAAGTCTGTATCAACTTCAACGGAGAAGCGGTTGAACAATTTTGTTATATTCAAAGCTGCAGGTGTGCATTTCCTGCAAAAATAGTCATGCAAAGATTAATGGGCTTTTAGACAAGACTGGGACTCAAAGCCGTGATAGACTTGGTAGATATGACCCATGTCTGTATAGGGACATTGATAAAGGAACTATAACTTCATATTGAAACCCTGTTTGTGTCTGTATGAATAGATGGTCTGTCATCAGGTTTTGATACAGGTTTTTTTTTACAAATACCAGATCATTCCTATCAGTGCCAAAACTTATAATCAGCCCTTAAAGACCCCAATACCATCTCAATGTTAGTACCAAAAGAAGTCAGAAAAGGATTTTTAATAAGATTCCATCAACTTCTCCAAAAATAGAATAAACCCAACTGGAGTTAAAATACTCAAAAAAGAAATGTTTAATTGTAAACATGTCTGCTCCAAATAATGATCATGACAACCCAATTATGAACAGTCTGATAAACAAAGACAGCCATTCCCTAAAGTATGTGAAAATGGACAGCGCAATTAAATTTATCAAAAAGCTAGGGAAAGGGATTTGGTTAATGAAAAGACATCTCGGAGGTCTTAAAACTTATTCCTAATAAACCGGAGTTGTGGCCCTTGAATGGAGTTTCCTGGGAAGGGAAATATTATTTCTTTGTAAGACATGTGCTTGGCAGCAGATCAACCCCAAAAATTTTCGACTAACTGTCTAGGGCTATTTGTTGAATTGTGCATAATGTATTTAAAATTGGCAATGTTTGTTGGATGACTTCCTAGTGCTAGAACTTTTGCATGCGTATGCTGAAGCCACCATTGAAAAGTTCCTAAACACATTCCATAATCGAGGGGTCCCTATTGCTATGCACAAGACAGAAGGGCTGTGCACATGTTTTGAATATTTACGTGTGTGTCTGGATTTCAGTAAAATAGAAACACAACTTGCTATGGAAATAGTTTACAACATTTTGGACTCTTTTTCAACATGTAAAGCATGGACTAGGCCTGAACTTCTTTGTCTCCTGGGCCACATGAACTTTGCTAGCAGAGTAATCCAGCTAGGTCATTCCTTTATGTCTCACCTCATCAAACTATCTACTTCTGTCACTAAATTGCATCATCATGTAACCTTAAATTCAGCTGTATGTTCAGGTCTAGCTATCTGGTCATCTTTTCCTTCATCTTGGAACAACATGTCTTTCTTTCTGGATAACAACATTACCTTAGCCACAAATATAGAGATATTCACTGATGCTACACCCACTTCCTTCAGACGTTTTCATGGAGAGCACTGGTTTCAGGGTCATTTCCTTCCTGAGGTTTTACATGAGCAACAATCTATAGCTCTTTTTGAATTGTACCCCAGAGTGATGTAGTTACGACTGTTAGGTATACGTGGCTTGGGGAGTTTGTCTCCTCAGAGTCTAGTAAGTGTAAGCACCTGTTGAGGACCGCCTCATAAATCACATTCTTACAGCTAGATACTCTAGCTACCTACTCAACAGCTTGAATCGATCAAGTTTCGGGAATTGTCTCAATCTTTTTGAACAAGTCACCAGCTCAGGATTGCGTAAGCTTAGGGATCACCCCATTCTTGTCCTTAGTCATTGAATTTGAGATTACTCAAGGTCTGGGATCGCCCCACGCACATTTATTGACTTAGTTTAGAAGTTGATAATTGTTTTAATTTATTTATGTTATTTACGTGTTTCAAAGATGTATAAAAGCAATTATTCAACTAGTTTGTCTATGCAAAGTTATAAGGCCTGACATTACGCACGGTTTACTAAACGATATCCCCATCTGTGTCTGTACTGTTGAATATTAGTGAAGGCTCTTGCATGCTGACAAAATTCTTATAGTCCCATATTATTTCTTTTAAGTTACATGAAGTCATTCTTATTGTAAACAAGCATGGCGATGATCTATTGATCCTACGATACAACAAGCTATTGTAAACTTCTGCTATGGCTTCTGAAGCAAGCATGAAAGTTCAGAAAATATTATTGTGTTTCATATCAAGAAGGTATGATCAATTAAATTCACGAGAATGGTACTTTTATTTCAATCTAAAAGCATCTTGTATAAGTTACAAATGACAGTTCTAGATAATTTGTTTTAGTCACAAACATGTGATGGACAGGTACTTGTAAAAACCTTATTGTACTGGTGTACAGGTATCCTTGCTTTAAATCACTATTCTTTATTCTTTCTGGAAGTGTGACATGTTACAGCAACCAAAACATATCAGGGTGTGAGGTCAAGCAGGTCAGTAGTGCATGTGATACTTCTCAACAAAATGGTCATTACAAAATACATAATGGTCAGAAATTGATGTCCAGACAACACTCTTTTCTTTCGAAGGTAAAAAGCTGTGACTTATAACCCGGAAAATACTGCAATATTTTTTCTGAGCTACTGTTGACTTATTATCTTATAATTCTGTAAATCAGACTTATAATTCAGGGAATTTACCCTCAATTCATAATATATGATATATATATTGTTGTTTTAACAGTGATTTGTAATCAGATAGTAAATTTATTAGGTACCTGCCGGAGATCACCCTTCTTAGTCAAATACATTTATAAATCCTGATTAGTAGGGTTATGTGTAATTGTAATTACGACTGTTAGGTATTAGGATTGCCTAAGCTTGGGGATGGTCCCATTCCTGTCTGAAGTAAATGAGTTTGAGATCGCTCAAACTCTGGGATCGCCCCACGCACATCTATTGACTTAGTTTAGAAGGTAAGAACTGTTCTTATTTTCTTTACCATACAATTTTTTGTAGATACATTGTTTTGTATTTTGTAAAGTTATAATAGTAACTGAGCAGCCCCTAAGAATGCTAAAAACTATTAGTGATGTAGGCCAAACAAGTTACATAGTTCTGAACAATAAATGTTGGAACTTTCTGTGATTGTTGTATGTAAAGAATTAGATATTGCAGAGGGACTTGGGGCTAGATATCACAGTGGGACTCAGTACAGGCTAGTTTGGGCTAGGCTAGGACTTTGATACCATACTAGGACAAGCTAGACATTTATAAGTGACCAGCTTAGATAACCTGTCTCTGTAGAGTAAAAGTGTTCCAGTTACAAATCCCAGTCTGGTCTGATCAGTTAGGATATAGAAAGAGTATCACAATTGAATCAATGCCTGTGTCAGAAAATCTCTAAAAATGTGATGGTGCCTTTAACTGACTACCATTTTTATGAGGAGGGGGCATCATTTGTTTTTGAACAGAAGAATTTTCCCCACCACTTCAAAAACACGATATGTGGATAGCCTACACATACCTGGGGGCAATGGGTATTTGCTAGAGAAATATGGGAGATTTTGATAAACCACAAAGGTCCTGATTTAGATACAAAAGTGTACATATCTTTTGTACCGACAGAAGTTTCTATGACATTTAAACTGTATCTTGAGACTGTTTCCCAATGTTTGTCCTTAGCCTCTAATACAAAAACAACTTTTTATGGCGATGTTGTCAGCCATATACTCCCAATTTAGAGCTAACAAAGAAAGCCATCTACGAGCACTGACAAGAAAATCGTCAGTGATCTTTAGAAAATATCTCTCTGTTCATTAACCTGAAATTAAAAAATCAATCATGAAAAACATTTTAGAATTAAAACACATAACAATCATACAGAGTAAAAAACAAAAATCTAGACTTACTTTTCTAGTTTGTGGAGATGTGGCATCCTACGAGTGGGTTGTGGCTGAGTGGTGCTAGCCCCCGAGGATTGTGTCCCAGCCCCTTGGGGCTGAGTACTTGTTGGGGATGAGCCACCTGTCCCTGCAACACCTCCACTTATTGGTGAAGACTTATTTGTCTCTGTGGTAACCTTCCCTAACCTCTTCTCAGCTCTTGAGTCACTTAATTTATCGTTCTCCATATTAAATTGTGGTTACACTAATGTATTATCCAAAACGAAATCAATTTCAACACAATATTTTAAAAACAGTTTTAAAAATCACAGTCAATCACAATAAATTCACTATGAAAATTCCACAAATCTTCCACACACTAATTTCCAATAACACAAATCCAAAATACTTCACTGCAGAAAAACTTTACACATCACCTCCAGCCACAAATCCTTGTGAGCTATGGAATTTTGTCAATGAAAACCAACATATAAATTTGATCCCTTTCTTCAGGTTTTATTTTCTATTGGCTAAAGTGTTGTGTCTATAGTACTGTCTTTTTTCTCATGTGATAAGCCTGATATGCCTATTACGCTGTAACAAAACCAGAGACCAATATCAGTGACAACAGTAGGACACCTTTCCCCAATGACAATCCACCTGAGTCAGGATTTCCAATACCGTAGTCAGCGGACATCCCCTGACTGCAATCTGTTGGCTGTATTCCTATGGGAGAACCTGTATGCCATACCCTGCAGTGATTGTAGAGCAAGGACAGGCTCCCACTATCTGTTTGCTTGAATAAACACTGTGATACAACCACACACTAATGAAACTACACTACTAGCCTCTTGGTAGAGCTTGTACTGGTGTCGAGGAGCTCCTCACCCAATATTATAAGTATACAGCTAACAGTATAATAATGCTGTCTGTCCCCAAACTTATTGTCACCATGCCCAGGCCAGATTCCACTCCGGAGGTGGAAAAAAAAAACGTGGCCTGAAGACTGTCCTGATTTGTAAACATTAATACAAAGAAAACTTTCAATCATTTACATATAGTTAATCAGGTCATTAAATTTAATGGAAACAACTCCATGTGATTATCAGTAGGAAATGGATGATCAGATACAATTACCGGGCATATTCTACAACCATTAATTAGCAAGTTAAAAATATTCGATGATTATCATTTCTCTTTCCTTCACTGCTTTAAACATTCCTACAGTGATGAAGACCATATGACATTAATTAATCTGGTTTTAAAACAAACTTGATCATGTCGTGATTTTATATTACAGTGCAGAAATCAAATTACAAAATATCCAAGTAAGATTTTGGCACCCACCATTGTTTAATATTTATTTGTTCATTAAACGTTGGATGTTTTTCCTTCTTTTTATTATGCTTCTCTTATCAGATCCAAAAATAGCTTAATCACGGACAAAGGAAAATTACAAGATGGCCACCTATCTGCCATGTTGTTTTAAGCAACCAATGAACTATGCACCTCTAAGGAGAAGAATAGCACAAACAAGGACCAAGTGGAATTAATCCAGGAAGGCCACCTGTCAACCACATTGTGTTAACAATCAGTCTAAAAATTAATAATGCATAACTAGGGATCAGGAGAAACCAACATAAGAAATTTGAGAATGATTCATCCTGTGCTTCTCCAGAAATAGCAAAATCAAAATTTGTTTCAGGACTGATGGACATTGAATGCATGGTGATTTGAACAACGTACTGTCTGATTAGGTGAACATTTCAATAAACTGGGCTATATCAATTTGACTCCTTTTAAACGATTTAAGGCACTTTTTTTCTCAAATATTCACATGCAAAAGATCAGGAAGCATTGGCTTAGACCTCAAATGGATATACAAGAGTCATTGGCTAGGCCTCAAATGGATATACGAGAGGCAATGGCTAGGCCTCAAATGGATATACGAGAGGCAATGGCTAGGCCTCAAATGGATATACGAGAGGCAATGGCTAGGCCTCAAATGGATATACGAGAGGCAATGGCTAGGCCTCAAATGGATATACGAGAGGCAATGGCTAGGCCTCAAATGGATATACGAAAGGCAATGGCTAGGCCTCAAATGGATATACGAGAGGCAATGGCTAGGCCTCAAATGGATATACAAGAGTCATTGGCTAGGCCTCAAATGGATATACAAGAGTCATTGGCTAGGCCTCAAATGGATATACGAGAGGCAATGGCTAGGCCTCAAATGGATATACGAGAGGCAATGGCTAGGCCTCAAATGGATATACGAAAGGCAATGGCTAGGCCTCAAATGGATATACGAGAGGCAATGGCTAGGCCTCAAATGGATATACGAGAGGCAATGGCTTAGACCTCAAATGGATATAAGAGAGGCATGGCTAGTCCTCAAATGAATTTACAAGAGGCATTGGCTAGGACCTCAAATGGATATACAAGAGGCATGGCTAGGCCTCAAATGGATATACAAGAGGCAATGGCTTAGACCTCAAATGGATATACGAGAGGCATGGCTAGGCCTCAAATGGATATACAAGAGGCATTGGCTAGGACCTCAAATGGATATACAAGAGGCATTGGCTAGGACCTCAAATGGATATACAAGAGGCATGGCTAGGCCTCAAATGGATATAAGAGAGGCATGGCTAGGCCTCAAATGAATTTACAAGAGGCATTGGCTAGGCCTCAAATGGATATACAAGAGGCATGGCTAAGACCTCAAATGGATTTACAAGAGGCATGGCTAGGCCTCAAATGGATTTACAAGAGGCATTGGCTAGGACCTCAAATGGATATACAAGAGGCATGGCTAGGCCTCAAATGGATATAAGAGAGGCATGGCTAGGCCTCAAATGGATTTACAAGGTGCATTGGCTAGGCCTCAAATGGATATACAAGAGGCATGGCTAAGACCTCAAATGGATTTACAAGAGGCATGGCTAGGCCTCAAATGGATTTACAAGAGGCATTGGCTTAGTCCTCAAATGGATGTACAAGAGGCATGGCTAGGACCTCAAATGGATTTACAAGAGGCTTGGTTAGGACCTCAAATGGATTTACATGAGGTAATGTCTTGGACCTCAAATGGATGTACAAGAGGCATTGGCTATGACCTCAAATGGATTTACAAGGTGCATTGGCTAGGCCTCAAATGGATATACAAGAGGCATGGCTAAGACCTCAAATGGATATACAAGAGGCATGGCTAGGACCTCAAATGGATTTACAAGAGGCATTGGCTATGACCTCAAATGGATTTAAAAGAGGCATGGCTAGACCTCAAATGGATATAGGAGAGGCAATGGCTAGGCCTCAAATGGATATACGAGAGGCAATGGCTAGGCCTCAAATGGATATACGAGAGGCATGGCTAGGCCTCAAATGGATATACAAGAGGCATGGCTAGGCCTCAAATGGACATACAAGAGGCATTGGCTAGGACATCAAATGGATTTACAAGAGACATTGGCTAGGCCTCAGTTGGATATATAAGAGGCACGGCTAAGACCTCAAATGGATATACAAGAGGCATTGGCTAGGACCTCAAATGGATTTACAAGAGACATTGGCTAGGCCTCAGTTGGATTTACAAGAGACATTGGCTAGGCCTCAGTTGGATATATAAGAGGCACGGCTAAGACCTCAAATGGATATACAAGAGGCATTGGCTAGGACCTCAAATGGATTTACAAGAGACATTGGCTAGGCCTCAGTTGGATTTACAAGAGACATTGGCTAGGCCTCAGTTGGATTTACAAGAGACATTGGCTAGGCCTCAGTTGGATATATAAGAGGCACGGCTAAGACCTCAAATGGATTTACAAGAGGCATTGGCTTGGACCTCAAATGGATCTATACTATTTATGAAATATATACCTTATTTATATTTCTGTTCCTGCATCAGAGTTAGAATTTCAAATATGATACTATGTATCAAACACAGTATTAAATCAGAACTGATTAAGATAAATGAGGTGTAGAGGGTCTGCTATACAGATTCACAGGTAGGCAAATTGATTCCAGGAATAGCGTATTGATTAATAGCATTGTGTCTAATGGACATTTGTTCTCAGGATACATATACAAGAATTCTATATGTGTGATTAAAAAATTGTTTTATCAGTGTACATTATGAATAATCAAGCTAATGCTGTTTATGTCAAAGCTCTAATGCAGACATATAGGTTATACAGTCAGACTGTTTACTGTTGTTCAAATATGTTTTTAGAAAAAAATGAGATTATAGGGACACTTAAGAGCTAATACAAATGAGAATTTCCACTACAATAACAGACAAGGGCACAGAGCTGCTTGGACAATGACAGAGCCATCTGAGTCAAATGATTGGTCATCTGTATGGAATTGAGAATTATGTTTTATTGTCTGGTTTTTTCTACTGAGTGTGATTTAGTATCACTAGAGAGAAATGAGCTTCACACAGAGACAATTGTTTGGATTCACTGACAACTCAATCTACATTCTAATATCTCTATACAGGGATGGAGTTGTCAAACAAGATTCCAAATGGGCCTGAATTGCTCACCTGTTCTGAAAAGAGAAGAATTTGAAAGAATGAGTCAATTTTGACATATTTAAAAGCCATTATCCCAATCATACCACTAATCAAATATCATGACCTTTGGCATTTGGCTGATGAAAAGAAGTCCTGTGAAGATTTCAACACATTTGCCCTTTGTGAAAATGAAAGTAGGCCAAGGTTATCCATTTGAGCAAATCTAAAAGCCCAGTGACACTCCAGCATGCCACTAGACAAATATCAAACCTTGTCCTTTTGGTTATTGAATGTAAGTATTTTGAACTCTATGTCCTTGAAAGTGGTTCAAGGTCATTCAGTAATACAATATCACAAACCTGGACTTATTGATTATCAAGAACTCCATTGAAGATTTTAACCCATTTTAATTAACTTTGAAAGGTAGTTATGAAACAATTTGTCTGAACAAACTTGAAAGTCATTCTTTCCTACATTGTGCTCGCTACATTCACTATGACTTATTTTTAAGTATCTTGTCAATGACGGCTTTTCTTAGACAGTTAATTACCATGCAAGAGCAGAAAACAGTAGAATTACATAAGCATCTAATTCAAAACGATACAGTCTATATTGTCAAGCATTGTTACACTCCTTCCTTATTTCTGCATTTTCAAAGCAAAATATTTTCTTAATTCTCAACCATCAAAAAATGCTACATAGAGAAAATTTGATGTATTATATTATATTTCTGACATATATCGTAACATTATCGTTTCATTATTAAGCTTTTTCAGTTTTTCTTTGTACTTGAGAAAATATCAATATTCTGTCATACTCCTGAAATATTCACATTAATATCACAGTAGAATTTTAAAGGGGAACCAACTAAATATCTCCTTTCATTTTTTTGTTTTATTGGTTCTTGCTGTTTTTTTATTTTGTAACACAAATGTAGGTATCAATAGACCTTTTTCAGCGATATCAAGAAGAGTACTGTAAAGCGCCTGTGATGACAACAACAAAGTCTCCAGGGACATTAGAAATATCAGTGATAACCCTGTATGTGATAAGAATGTGATGGCACCAATATGATTTGTGTTGGCTTTCCTCAGTCCAATTAGGTCTGATAATGTAACATTTAAAATCATTCACAAAAAAACCACTCAAAGTGTGTCCAATGTGTTTGAAGTTTATACGATACCTTAAAAAATTATGTTTAATGGCCTGCTTTAAATAGTATGAAGTTGTATCTCGGCCATTTAATGATTGTGTCACCTTGTCATCTAACTTGTGATCATCAACAACAAACGACTTTCACATTTTCATTTTTACCAGCTTTCTACTCTTAAAACTATCATCCATGTAATGTGTTTATCCTTCATCTTTTTGAATCACCCATCTAACTTGGTTAATTTTCCTCTCAAACGTTAGCTTTGTTATACGTAATAAATATCTGACAGATATATACATGAACAAAATGTTCCCTTCAGATAGTGTCTACCACTATAGTACAACTAGACTGTGTCAATTGTTGCTGACAAGGTTACAATTAAACCACAATTGGGAGAGAGTTTGTCTTAAGTAATGTGGATCCTGGGTTCAATCCTTAGTCTGGTCATGCAGTTTCTTGTTCCTTTTGCAAAACTAGTCATTTGATAGTGAAAGTTTTACTCCAGTTTTTTAAGTATATTTATCTAAGACAGTTTTACACTACAAATTTCTATGGTTGAATTTCATTAAGTCCAACATTATTTCGTAAATATATCATCATTCAGGACTGTCTTTATTTCATAACTCTCTGTCTTCACTTACTTAAGAAGATGTTCATCCTGAATGCACCAGGGGCTATGATCGCTTTCACTTTTTGGAACATATTTCCTGACAAAATCGTAGTTATTTGATTGGTCTAGAGCAGATTTCAGGAGAAAGAACATGGACTCATCTGAAGACTGATACACTTCTTCAAAGGTTGCAAAAAAACAACACCCATCTTCAAAGCCAGTACAACATAACCATTATGTGACACTGAAATAGTCTGATACACATCAAAGGATCAAACTAATCTTTTTGTCTTATCAATAAGATGACGCATGTAGAACTTTTGATTTCACCATGAAATGTTCCAGAGGTGTAGTGAGCCATAGTGAGAGTAACCCATGGTATAATGAATATGGCAACACATTTTTTTTCAAAACATTGTACAACCTAATATCTAAGCAAGATACTGCTTACATATTATGACTCGAGGCTTTCTGGTTCTTTAGACAATGCCATTTTGTTGTTTACAAATATGACATCCATGACCTTGACTCCAGAAATGATTCAAACATTCATAGAACTGTTCATATACTTGGTAACTATTCCAGGAACATCTGTGACCATACAATTAATGAGAGTATCTGAAAGTGGGCAATATACAAAGCAAGCAAATTTCCAATCACTTATGATGTGAACACAGACATCAATTAATTGAGAAAGCAAGTGCAAAAACCAAAAATCTGATGCTTTAAGGAGAATACATAGCAAATGTAAGTGATTAGGTAGCAATGTTATAACACTACTTTAGATTCTGGGTAACTGGGATCTGACTGCTTAGTACTTCCTCCCTCCTGTTACAGCTATATTACACCATGTTGATACCATAAACAACAACAATACATAACAACAACATCCATAGCATTTCTGCAAACAAAAATCTGCCCAAAGGTTGAACCATCCGATTATAAGATTTTTTCTCAGAACGTTGGGGTGTGGGCTAAGAATGAGGACAATGACTCCGGAACGAGGCACAATTAGCTATACACTAATTCTCCTAAGGCCATGACAATGTACGGATGCATGGTTTCCTTGGTGAGGCTCAATTGATAATGATGAAAGGAAAAACATTTCCGATTTTCAAGAAAAATCCATAAAAAGGCAAGTGTGTAGAACATTAATTCTTGTCGGAAAACAAAAACGACACTGCGTGATACTGGCTGATAGGTGGCACTCAGGTGTCCTTTGAATCAATGATAACGGTTGATTCCATTTGGTGATACCAACTGTGATTCTGAACAGGATAATTTAACTAAGGAATATCTAAAAACAGAATCTTATCTAATATCTATCAAGGCATTATTCAATTTCTCATCTACTATATCTTTATTGAAATTTGAATTTATTGAGAAAGGAAAAATGAAATAAAAAAAAAAGATAATCATTTGGTAATCTGGTAAGTGATCACACCTGTATCTCGTTAATGAGATTGTTTCCATGATACTATCAGAATCTGAACCATGTTCAGGATCACAATTACATTTTAACTCATTCACTATTCCAATTTTATATTTCAAATCCCTACATAAGATTTTATCATCGCAGGTATTAACAGAACATTTATTCAAATATAAGATTTTTTCATCAAAGTGATGTTATTCTGTATACCAATTCAATAAAACTCAGCATAGGAGGATTAAGCATGACAGATTTGTATAGCTGGCAGGTCACATCAAAGATATTCAAATTAGTGGAAGGTGTTAAATGAACCGAATGATTATAATGGCATAGATTTTGAGATGGAAATAACGTACAACTGCAATACTGCCATGAGGATTCATTAATTTCATTACATAGACATCACAATATGATCAATATCTAGGAGATGTGATGATGCTAAGAACCATCAACAAAATTTTCAAAATA